GGTGAATCTGTAATCAAAGGTGCTTTTTTGGAACCACTTCCCACCAGTGTTGGGGACAGTTAGAGCTCCTAAAGCCCTATCTTTTCCTTGGAGTCATAGGTGTGTTTTCTGCTGAGCTCACTGGAGTCCTCATTACCAGGAGTTAGGGGTCTTTCTTCCTGCCCTGAGCTGGAAGGGACATCCCAGCTCCCCCATGGCCCTTCCTGTTGCTGTGGGGAGACTGTGAGACTGAGGGAGGTGAGCAGCAGAAGACAGCTGGGCCAAGAGGTTTTGTTGGTACTGATGCTGCCATGGACATGCAGTACAGGTCTCCTTTCAGGCTCCTGACTTCCATTCCTTTGGTGTGAATGAGGTAGTGGGACTGCTCAATAACATAGGAATTGTATTTTTACTTTTGGGAGGAAACTCCATACTGTTTTCCAGAATCATTCTACTAAAGTACAACATCAGCTATGTTCCCTTTTATCCACATCCTTGCCAACATTCTTTACTCTATATTTTCACAATGACTAGTGTAATAGGTATGACATGATATCACCTGTGGTTTTAATTTTGATTTGCTTTAATTCCCATATCTGTTGGCCATTTTTATGTCTTATGTTGAGAAATGTCTCTTCAACTTATTTGTCCATGTTAAATATAAGGTTATTTGTATATTTGGTGTATTAACCCCTTATCTAACATATGATTTGCAATTGTTTCCCAAAATCTATGGGTTGTCTCTTCACTCTGCCTTTTTTTTTCCAAGCAGAAGTATTGTAGGTTGATGCTATCGCAATGCTCTATTTTGCCTTTGTTTTGGGGATCATATCCAAGAAAACTCTGTGTGAACCAAAATAAGAAAGCATTTCCCTTATGTTTTCTTCTAGTAATTTAATAGTTTTAGGTCTTACTTTTTTTGTAAAGGGTTTTTCTAGTAAGCCCAGACTGATCTTACTCTTATGGGCTCCAGTGATTCTCCTGCCTCAGCCTCAAGAGTAGCTGGGACTATATTTCTCCCTAACACACTCAACTTCAGTTCTTCCATTCATATCTTTAATCCATTTTGATTTGATTCTTGGATGAAAGATGAGATGAGTGTTCATTTTCATTCTTCTGTATGTGGATATTTGGTTTTCCCAGAGACATTTTCTCTGCATATTTGCAAACTTGTTATTTCTGCATGCTTTTTTAAAACAGTAGCCATCCTGATAGTGCAAAGTAGTATCTTTTTGTGCTTTTGGTTTGTATTTCCCTAATGACTACTAATGCTAACTCTCTTTTCCTGTTTTTATTGGCCATTTGTATATCTCTTTCAGGAAGTTTCTGTAGGGATCTTTTGCTCAGCTTTGAATAGGTTGAATGCTTTGTCCCCTTTTGATTTATAGGAATTTGTCAGGAGCTGCCCTGGATGGTCACACTTTTAAGTCCTGATGCCCCTGGGCACTGAACAATTATTGCCTTCTGTAGTAACTTGGGCATTCCCTGGCTCAGATAACAAGGTGTGGCTACAGGTGTAGGTGTCACCTGCTGGGGTTGAGTTACACTCACCTGTTCCTTTGAAATCCTACCCTTTGGCCTTTTGGGGATAGAATGTTCCATGGAACAACCCCTTGTGTGTCCCCTAAATAAGAATAAAGAATTCCAGTGTCTCTCTCTTTCCAGGGACCCATAAATTCGTAGAGCCGTCCCCGGATAATTGAAAAGGTACTTCTGTGTATTTGCATGCTTTCATTGTCATTTGCTTAAGTTATTGGAATAGTAAGATTTTGCGGACCCAGCATTAGGTCACCAGCTAGGATAGATGGCCATAGGGATTCTTCTTTGTTTCTTTGTTTTCGTGGTGCCGGGATCAAGCACATGCATTCGCTCGGCAAGAGTTCTGCCACTGAGCATTATCTCCAACACTGAATTCATTTTTGTGTATGCGTAAGAAGAAGCTCCACCCTCATTTATTTTTTTTGGGAATCTCCAGTTTTCACAGCTTCATGTGTAGAAAAGATACATCAGCTCTCTTGGAATGCTGCTGCCTGGCTGTCTCCGGGGGATGCTGACGGGACCATTTACCTTCCCATCTAGGGCCACAAATGGCCTCTCTTCTACTTTGCACCCAGCCCTATACTTCAAAACCACCCCACTCTAAACTCCTTTTGGATTGTGATCTGCAGCCCCTCCTGCCCTCTAAGATACCCTCCTTGCCCCAGCTTGTCTTTAAGGAGCTTACAAAGGGGCTGCGCCTTCCTCTCTGTCCCCTGGCCTGCCTGTGTTTCCAAACCTTCTGGCCATGGGTCCTCCTACCCTGAGCTCCTCCTGACCTCTGGCCCTCTGACAAGCCCAGTCTGCAGCCTCTCACCTTTGTGCAGGCCTTCTGCTACAGGCCTGGCTCCCCCTTCCACTCTCCACCAGCACTTTTAGTGAGCCTGTGCTCTGTCTTGGTTCCAAACTACATGTCAGCCTGTTTCCATGTTCCCTTCCTCTGTTCTTCACGTCCCATGCCTTCTTTCCTCCTATCCTGTTTTCCTTGTATTGGAAATCCATATTTAAGGGCCTTTGTCCCTGTTCATTCTCTCAGTGTGGCCTAGGAGGGCAAAATAAGTGGTGAACATTCCTGAGCTCTTGATTCCAGGAAGAAATGTCATCTGTGGTATCTTCCTGCAGAGGAGCACACAATCTTCATTATAACCTAAAAATGAGGTCTCTTGACTACTTAGTGCACCAAGGTTCTTTTGGATCATCAGCTGCTGGGTTTCTGTTCTCACGACTAAAAGGTGCAGGGGTCACTCCAGGAAAACTGGGCTGACTAGGCTGCATGAAAAAACCACACAAGAGACACAAATACCTCTTTCTTTGGGGTAGCTGTGATGGCTCCTCTGACCTGAAGGGTCCGCAGGAAGAGAGAGAGAGCAAGAGAGCACGCGCTGACCCCTTTTATTGGGGAGAAGCTATTCAAATGAGGCAAGGGGTAAGGTTTCAGGGGGCTGAGTCTATCTTCATGATGTCCACTGTCAACAGGTTGACTGACACCTGGGTAGGCCACACCCAAGGGCACAGTTAGAGAAGAGAACACACACAAGGCACTTCCATGGAAGTTTCTATCCTAAATAGGGCAAGGGGTTTTATTATAAGGAACAGGTGAGCATAGCTTCACCATGGGGCTGTAGCAAGACACACCCATGCATGAGACACCAACCCTCGAACCCAAGAAGGGTGGGGAAAGCTCTGCCACATTTCTGTGACTGAGCACCTCAGCACCCAGCTGGGGAGTGTGACTCAGCCTCGTGTAAGATTGGTCTCCCACAATCAGCCCTTCCTGCACTATTACAGTGAGAGATGCAGGGCAGAGTCTCGGGCACTGTGGGCAGAGAAAGTCCCAGGAGCCAAGATCTGGAACACAGATCTTGGCAGGAAGTGGGAAGAAGTGGGAAGAACTAAGACTTGGCAGGAAGTGGGAAGAACCTCAGAATGACCCTGGCTGATATCAATGCCCTGCAGAAGCAGAAAGAAGGTGAGTGTGGGTGGAGGCAAGCGTGATGTGAGGCTTTCTGCAGGAAGGCTGGTTGCAGAGAGCAGGGACTTCTCTTCTCACTGCATTTGTCTGAGAAGGGCAAGCAATGGGGTCTGTGGAGCTCAACATAAGGAGCATTGAAGAGAGAGAGCCATGTTGGGGTCCTCTGTGGGCTGGAGTTTCTACCAGGTGGGCAGGGAGGCAGAGAGGTCAGTGGATGTAGAAGTGACTGGTGGGTGGGGGCAGGGTTTCATTCCCTCCAGGAGACTAGGGGCTGTGAGATGCAAAAGAACAACCACACAAGGGGCTTCTGGGGTTTCTACTATGATGAGGAGCCCTTTCTCTCCAATTACCCAGACACTCAAAGCTGGATGATGTACCCTTCCTCCACTCAGACTTTGGCTATGGAAGTCAAGACGCCATGGAAATCAGATGATAGTCCAAGCAAGGCTTACTGGGCCCTCAGGCTGGGAAAAGTTTGTGGAAGATTCTCTATATATCTGAACTCCTGGATATCCTTCAATGAGATAATATCCCACATTCCTCTGTGCCTTGATCTAGAGGACCTCCTCTGTAGTATGGGATGCTTGTGTTTTCTGTTGCGATGTATTCAGATTTCCCTGTCCTGTTAAACCACTGGATAAAGACAGGAGGTTGTGGCTACATATGAACTGTCTGGGCCATAACCAGGAAGCACCCTGAGCCTCAGGAGACTGGGGTAAGGGAGGAGTTGAGGCCTCTTCTGTCCACCTGTCTGCCAACCCTATTATCATGCAGAGCTCCCTTATGGCCTCAAAACAAGGAATCCCTGTAACACCCCCTCCTCACCCTCAACATGTGGAAGTGAGAATGTGAGGCCACAAACCAAAGTATAGTGCTCCTGCCAGTCAGAGAACTGATGCCCTCTGCTGAAAACAGATTTGAAGCAGGCCTAGTGCCAATGAGGACTTTGGCCACAAATAGAAGAGTAGAGAAAACCAGCCCTGTTCCCTCTGCCTCTTTTAGAGGGGAGTGAGGTTTGATCCCATGCTTGACTGGTTCTGCTTTTTCTTCTACAGTGTCCCCCACAGTGACTGTGACCTGTGGTGAGGCCTTGGAGAATACCATCAATGTGACAGGTTGGACTTTTGGCTTCTATCCCAAGATTATCTCTCTGACCTGACACTGGGATGGGGAACCCCTGAGCCAGGAGACACAGCAGTCTGGGAGTTTCTTTCCCTATGGGAATGGGACCTACCAGACCTGGGTGTCCACCAGGATTCCTCAAGGACAGGAGGAGAGATTCAGCTGCCCCGTGGGACCCAGCAGGAAAGACAGCACTGGCACTGTGCCCTGTGGTGAGCCTGGGTGTCCCAGCAGGGGTTCCCAGTGGGTAGGTCAGTGACCAGGGTGGTGAGAGGGAGGAGGTCTAGAGGCTCTGGGACCCAGATGGTAACATGTGTGCTTTCAGGGTCGACCCTGCCACTTCACAGCTGATGGAGTGCCTTTCTGACTGTGGTTGCTGCTGTTGATGCTGTTCTACTTCTTCGTGCAAGAAGAGGAAGACAACTTCTGCTGTGAATGGTTCAGGTGAGAAATGTGGGAATGCATGGAGATGGCAGGTTTTTGGGTTGTAGGTCCCTCGTGACTCCCACTGCACAGAGGACAGTGGAGGTGACCATCCTTCCGGAACTGGGATAGATGTGTCTTTATTTGTGAGGGGCTGCCAGCCAGGTCTCCAGCTACTCCCTTTAGTCCTGCCAAAAGCCAGGGCCATGAACATCCTAAAAGGTCCAGCTACACCATATTCTTGTCACAGGGTTAGGAGTGAGCAGCAATGTGGCTGTGGCTCCTGCTCTGTCCTTGTCCCCTTCTCTGTCTCAGGCATTGGGGGCTTAACCAGGGGAATGGTGGGCTGATTGGTGTGGGTTAGATTATCACAGACTCAGGCAGACACAGAGTAAAAGGATCTGTGATTTGTGTTCTTTAGAAACTCTAGAGGAATCCCACAAAGGCTAATGCCTCTGGTTCCTTCCTGTCTGCCTCACTTTTTATGGTCTCTCCACCTGTCATGAGCAAGGCAATAAAAAGACCCATTCAGCCTGTGCAAACAGTGCCTGCCCCTGGAGAGCCCATGTAGAGCCTGCCTGGGGGTATTCAGCATATGTAGTTCTCTTCTGTCTTCTCTGAATCTCTCCTTTCTTCTCAGGGGTCTCTCCTGTGTGTGTCCACTAGGTCACTAGCCCCACCACAGTGGTCATCCATCAGGAGTGGCTTCACAGATGTTATGGAAAAATGACAAAGCAGATGCTTCCCACCATCTGGGGAGAGAGACCAGCCATTGTGGGCAGCTGTGGTCCGTTTTTGTCCTATCTGGTGTTATAGTTTCCATGTGGAATATCTCCCAAAGGCTCATGAGTTGCAGGCTTGGCCCCAGGTGTTGGTCCTACTGGAAGGTGTGCAAGCTTTAGCAGGTGGGCCTAGTTGGAAGAGGCATTCCTTGAAGGAGCCATCTTTACCCAGGCTCTTCTCTGCCTCCTGGCCACGATGAGGTGAGGAGTGTCACCTTGTCATGTGCTTCCCACCATTATTTTCTGCCCTATCACTAGCCCACAGCAATGGGGCCAAGTGACTCTGGGCAGAAAGTGGTGAACCTTGAGCCAATGTAAATCTTTTCTCCTAAGTGTTTTACCTCAGGTATTTTGTCAGAGCAGTGAAAGCTGACTGTGACACTTGAGGTTTTCCTGTCCACCTTCAGGGGGCACAGTCCCCAAGGGCTGTGTGTGCTGGGTGTTGGGTCTGTGCCCTGTGACCTCCTATCACCCTGCCATTCCTGGGCCATCCTCCTTTTTAAGATGGCCACTCCCCTGTGCATTTGGAGTAAGGGGTGGTCAAAACCATATGCTATCACCAGTCAGGTTGCTTGAGGGGTCAGGAAAAGAGAAAACAGGAAGTTGTTATTTCAGCAGGGAACCAAGTTGAAGAATGAACAATTACTCATGTAGAGGATCTTTCTTTTGTTTCTGCCCCTTCTGTGTGGCCAGCAGTGGGGGTGGTGGTTAGTTTTTCATCCTTGAACCCAGTTTCAGTGTTGGCTGGCCCCTTGGGCCTAGGAAGACTGCCTCACAGTAGGAGTTGTCCAGGTGACTCTCCTGCCAGGGCTGAGGGTTCAGTGCTCTCTGCAGCTCTCACCTGCAGCCTCTGGTATATGAATGCTAGTTCTGGTTCTCTGTAGGGAAAAATAGTTGCCTGCAATTTCCCTGGAGATTTTGTTGGGAAGAGTGAAAGTCAGGTGCCTCATATCTCCAAATTTCTGCTCTACATGTTGACACCTAATTTCAGCTCATCTCTTTTTCCTTCTTCTTCTTTTAGAAGTACTGGGGATTTACCCAGGGGTGCTCTACCACTGAGCTACACCTCCAGGCTTGTGGCCTGTGTGAGTCCCTATGCAGCTGAGGGAAAGAAGGTGACGCAGTCTCAGGAAGCAGGAACCCTTGGGGAGTAGCTGATTTCCTGGGGCAGATGGGCCAAGTAGGCCTTAGGAGGGTAAAGTACAGATTAGGGACCTGAGTAAGTGTTGGGGGTCAGGGATTCTGCATCTGCTCTGTGTGGGCTGCTTCAGGTCAGGTGAGCAGCAGGCCAGGGGGCAGCATGTTTTTCCGGGCTGGACCTGCTGGTGCCCCTGGGCTTCCTGGTGGGCTTTCCAGTTAGGAGCTACTGGCTCAGGTCTGAGAGGAAAGGATGCTGAGCTGCTGCTGGAGCAGACCCTGCTGGGTGGGCACCTGCCCCTGTAGCAGAGGAGGCCTGGATATTAAGGGGGTAAAGGCCTGTGTGTGAACCCTGTGCCCAGGATTGGCAGGAGCAGGAACTGCCTTCTATGGCAGGTCCCTATTCTGTCAGGAATGGTTGGGCAGAGGAGCAGGCACTGGGCTTCACTTTGGGATCTTGTCCCTTACTTCTTTGGTCTTTCATTCCCTTGAGTGATGCATGGTGGAAACTGAGGCAGGTGAGGCTGCTGGTAGATTTAGGAGAGGAGGCTGGTGAGGAAAACTAGTGGGGGCATTTTCTTCTCACAGAAACTCTGAATCTGACTTGGAGGGACTAAGAAGACAGGGGTTCTGAGGGATAAAACATCATATTCTGCCGCCAATTGAACACTGACTTTTCCCTTCCCCCATAGCTCAGGAGCTCACAAGTCCTGAATCATCAGCAGATGGTGAAGAGGAACCATAACAGCACTGTGCAGCTGAGGCCAACCATCCAGGGTGATGCTATGGGGCACATCTGCCCTGAAGAGTTGGAGCTCTCATGTGATAAAAAACTGGAATGTCACATTGGACGATGGGACAGGGTTGGAGCTTTGGGGGGTATCCTGGTGCTGAGTAATAGGAGTCAGTCTGCTTATGGAAAAAAGTGACTGGCAGGTGCTTATGGACTGAGATTATGAGAGTAAGTGACCAGAATCTGCCCCATGGGACCAGTCTGAAGCAGGCAGAGTGGTGGGGAGGCAGACCTACACCCTCCATCTTGATCCTTCCTGACTGCTGGTCTTGGAGTCTCCAGAGGCTTCTTGCCCAGAGATTTACCATGGGTGTGCACACTCTGTCTGCAGCAAGAGTGGGTACAGAGTCCATTTGGAAGCAAAAGCCTGATGAGGGACCTTGCTTGGGTCCTGATCCCTCCTGCTGGTGTTCCCTAGGGGAAACAATAGGGAAGCTGGGTAGGGAATTCACTCATGCATTTTTTTTTTTTTTAATTTGGTTGTTCTGAGGATTGAACCCACTCTACCACGAGCTACATCCTCAGCCCTTTTCACTTTTTGACAATCAAGATCTCTATAAATTGCCCAGATTGGCCTCACACTTTCAATCCTGCCTCAGCCTCATGAGCAGCTGGAATTGCAGTTGTGTGTACTGCAGCCAGACACTCATGCACTATTATACAGGGATGTATTTATTGACATCATCTTTTATTTTTCTCTTAAGCATATTATACATTTTAGTGTGTAAGTGTTGTTGTTGGTTATCCTGAAGCATTATTTATTGTGCTGAGTTTCATTTTACAAAAACTTTTTATTTTTAATTCAAGTTAATTTTTTCTAACAGAAAGTGTCAAATATTTACATTAGTTATTTCATGAAAAGTCAGGACCCTCTTTGTCTCCTCTTGATTTTCTACCTTCTTAGGTGCTACCACTTTCAATGTTATAGCTGATTCTTTCCAGTTTTACTTTTCATCTTTTGTGGTTTCTGTTGGTGCTGGAGATGGACTCTGGGCTCACACAAGCTGGGCAAGTGCTCTACCACTGAGCTGCACTCCGGGCCCTCAACTTTTGCCTCTGTAACTCTAAATACAAGGCCTCTGTTAAGGCTGCTGGCCTTTTCCTTTGCAGGCTCTGTTGCAGTGCTCCATGGCTGACACAGAAGTCAGTAGGAATTGTTCTCTCTCACTCCTGCCCTTCCCCCAGCTTCCAATGTTTTTATACAAAAATTATGTTCAGCTCAGTCATTCTATTTCTGTTTCCATGACAATTATTCTAATATATAAAGTTCCATAGTTTCCACTTCCAGTACACCATTTCATTCCTGGTATAGCATTCCTTGGAGTTAATAATCTCTTTTGGTTTTCTTTTGATTATTTTCTGTGGAGCACTTATTAATTTAACTTGGGTAATGTTGCTATTTGTAAGATTCAAGAAGTTCTGACTTTGTGTATTTTAATTTATTTTGTTTTTACTTTTTATTTCTTCAAAATAAATATATGTTCTGAGCCCTTCTGATATACTTGCATCTCTCGACTGGGCTCCTGTATCTGAGGCAGAACCACCATCCCAGCTACTTGGGAAGCTGGGGGAAGAAGATCACAATTTTGAGACCCGGCTGGGCAATTTTGTGCAATTCTGTCTCAAAAACTGGAGTGACATGGGCTGGGGATACAATCAGTAAGAACATCCTAGGGTGCCATCAGCAGAAGCAAGCATGAGTTTACCTGTGCACACACATGCATACATACACATACACATAAAAACAACTAAATTAGTAATAGGATTAACTTTCTTTCATTTGTTGTAATAATTAGTTACACATGACAACAGAATGCATTTTGATTTATTATACACAAATAGAGCAAAACTTTTCATTTCTCTGTACATGATGTAGAATCACAACATTCATACAATCATACATGTACCTAGGGTAATGATGTATATCTCATTTCATCATCTTTCCTATTCCAATGCTCCCTCCCTCCCCTCACTCCCCTGTGCCCAATCCAAAGTTCCTCCATTTTCCCCCTGCCTACTAGCCCCATTATGGATCAGCATCCACATACCAGAGAAAACATTTGGCCTTTGGTTTTTTTGGATTGGCTTATCTCACTTAGCATGATATTCTCCAACTTCATCCATTTACCTGCAAAGGCCTAATTTTATTCTTTTTTAATGCTGAGTAATAGTCCTGTGTGTATAAACCAGAGTTTATCCATGCATCTATTGAAGGGCATCTAGGTTGGTTCAACAATAAAGAGATAAGATAGGGTTAACATTTTATTGTAGCAAAAATACTTCAAATTAATCATTCAAATGATTTTGTTGGGGGTACTGGGTACTGGAGATTCAACTCAGGGGCAATTTCCCACTAAGCTACATCTGTAGTAATTTTGAATTTGTATTTGTTTTTGTTTTCAGACAGAGTCTCCTTAAGATGTTGAGGTGGGCTTTGTATTTGCAATCCTCCTGCCTTAATGTCCCAAGTCACTGGAATTACAGGTGGGCACCATTGCACTCATCATTAAATATTAATATCATTAAATATATAATACCATACTGTTAAACTATAAGTACATGGTGTACAAGAGATTTTTAGTACTTTTCTATCTTGAAAAATGGAAATTCTATGTCTTTTGAACAAAACTGCCCCACCCCCTTGACCCCTGGCAACCAGCATTCTGTTTACAGGTTCTCAGAATGTGACTGTTTTAGACACTTTATAAGTGGAATCTTAGAGTATTTGTGACCTCCCCTGCTTTCATGAGGCCAGAAGTTCAGAGTACAAACTGCAGTCTCTGAATGTGAAAACTTAAGTATAATAAGCATATTGGAATCTAAGGGGGCACTCAGTAGCCAAAGGTGGCACTCAGTAGCCAAAGGCCTTGAGGTAGGTGTGATTTCTGTAATGGACACCTGCCACAGCAACAGTCAGAGTAGAGTGGCTGGTACACTGAGGGTATCTGCTTGCTCCTCCTGATATTCCTAGGAATGAAACAGACAGAAAGCCTACTCACTTCTTACTTCACATATATAAACTAAACATTTCTGGGACAAAGGAACACACATTTGCCTTGAATCATAAGAACACAGACACAGTCCCTCCATCATTCACCAGACTTGAGCCAGTTTACAGACGTAGAACCCCTGGAATATAGACAGTTCAGCTTCCTTGAGGAGGGATCCCAGTGTACTACTGAAAATTTCTACATCTTACTCTCAGCCTTCATCAAAGGACTTTATGTACTATAGTACTTATTAGTACTATAAAAGTATTAAAAAGTATTTAATACTTTTTAGTAGTGAAAATGTACATTGGGGGAAAAGAAATAATCAACTATTTTATTACTATTGGACACTGACTCTAAATTGACACTAAGTCCCAGAGACACCAAATATCACTATGGCTCCCCAGTCCAAACAGGAGTTTATGGAGGTCAGGAAATGAAGGGAATTTTTAGCTCAGTTTCCTTTCAAAGTGGACCAGAGTGTTTAACAAACCCATTCTGTGGTTATTCCCACAGTTCCTAAATGCATAATTCAATAAATCTTTTCAGAAACAGGCAGGGTCTCCGGGTTGACATATATTGATGTTGGAGTGGGGGCTTTGTGGTGGGAAGGCCAAGAAGAAGCTGCTAGAAATGCCTCTACCTGGATGGACTGCAGAGATTAGTGCCACCATCAAGGACCTAAAAGATACAGGAGTTGTGATTGCTACAACAACGTCATTCAACTCACGTTTGACCTGTGCTAGAGAGAGAGAGGGATTGAGAATCCCAGTGGATTGTTGGAAACTTAACCAGGGGCACCTCCAACTGCAACTTCTGTGTCACATAAGTTTTTATTGCATGAGCAAAATAACGCATCCCCTGATACCTGATATGCAGCCATTAACCTAGAAAACACCTTTTGTATGGGGCAGGAGTACTAGATATCCAACCCACAGGCTGTTTACCAATGAGTACTACCCAGTCCTCTTTATTTTTTATTTTGAACAGGGTCTCACTAAGTTGTTGAGGATGGCCTCAAGCCTCCTGAGTCTCTGGAGTGTATGCCACCATCCCTGACTGGTGAATGGTTTTATCTCCATTACTATCTATAATTCAACCAGAACCAGTTTGTCTTTAGCTCTCAAGGAAAGGAATACACATTCACTGTCCTTTCTCTCTCCCTTTTATTTTGAAAAAAAATTTGTATTTAGAATGATCCAGCTGGATGGAGTTTAGACGATCCCCATTTTGTTGCAACATCTGAAGCAACACAATTAGGAGCAGTTGAGCCTGGGCCTTCTCTGCACCTGGCTGGATCAGGATATTGGCCTTGGCCACATCAGTGGCATCAGACCAGAGTCTGATCTGGTGCTTGTTGGCCTTGACATCCACAAAGAACACAAGTTGTGTTGTGGTCTTCTCTTTTTCTCACAGCAGACTCAGTGGTCAGGGGAAGTTCATGGCATTGTGGTGAAGTTCCTTTATTCCACATGCCCTGGCCTCACACTGTCAGCACATAGGTCCAGTCCCTAAGGTCCAGTTCCTGTTTCCTTCTAGTAAACCACTGAGGTACTACATTGGACTCAAATCTTCCAAAATAAAAAGGAAAACATCAAAGAAGGGAGGCAAAGAGAAATGGAGAGAGGGAAAAGAGAAGGAAATAGAAAAGACAAAAATAAGGAAGAGAAGAGGACAAGCAGCATTGGAAAGAGACAGAGTAACAGACATTATCACTATGCAAGAAAGTAAGGAGATGGAGAAGACACCTGTAGAACAGCAGATATGAAGAGAGTTGGCAAAGCAAGAAGCATCCATGAAATCACTGAAATATCACATAGATCATCAATGTGGGTGCGGCCCGGGAGGTGGAAAAATTTGCCTAAACAAAGGATTTCTTAAGCTGGAATAAGTAATAAGTAGATCGTTATAATAACAATAACACACAAATGGAAATGATTTGTTAGTCGTGTTCTCCAAGACAGAGCTGCAAGGTGGGTTTGAGCTCACCAGCATTTTAATTGAGGAAACACCTGTCTGAGAATGTGAGAAAGGAGCCAGAAATTCCTGGGAAAGCCTTCAGATTGAGGTATAATCAGACCCTGGGAGATGGACAGAGGGAGAAGAGCTTGTAGGATGGGTCCTAGACCACAGGCAACCTAAGGAAAGTACAACCAGGACATAAAAGTGTCCTGTAATGGCCAGCAGAGGAGT